TCAGCAGGATCAATGATGTCTTCATTTTTCAACCATTCCACCTAAAGATGCACGAGAGAAACAGATAAATTCCCAGTATGGATCCCTTGATGGCTGTCTGTCCTAACTTTTGTTTTGCAGTGTGAATAACATTGTTCCATGCCAGGAACTTCTGCAAACTGGAGAAAGTAACTTTCTGAGGTCACATTAAGTATCACTTACCTGCCAAACATGCTGATTCTGTCTGTACCACATTATTCTCAAATGTCAATGACCCAACTGGGAAATACAGTGTTCAAATTGTTTTCACTTTGCCCTCCAGGCAGGAATTGGGGATGTGCATTGCCAAGTTCAGAACCCAATCAAAAATAATAGGCTAAGCATTTCAAACTGAACTCAAACCTTTTGCTATTTGATTTGTTTACTCTTGGCAACTTACCTGCTGCTTTTCAGCAGAGAATATAAGGACTATTTAAAAGCTCAAAAGGCATCTTAGACATCGTGTAGCTCTAATAGAACAACATTTGGATGATTTATGTGTAACATATGGATTAAATTCCCCTAAAAGTGTACTTACTTTAAAATATAGCAAACACATATTTAGAGATGTATCTAAGCCAAAATCTTGGGAGGAAAAAAAAAAGAAGGTTTTCTACTAACTCTCAATATAATCTAAATAGCATATAAGTCATAGTCAAATTTCTTTTTGTCTATCTCTAGCATCAAATCTTTGGCTTACGGTTTGCTTCTGGAGAACCTGACCTAAGACATGACTGTTCAAAACTATTGAACTATTTTTCCTGTGCAAATATCAGTTTAGCAAGAGCAATGTTATCCTTACAGAATGAAAGGAGGGAAATATATCTGTATAAGATGTCCTTATGAAGGATAAACTATTTCTTGTTTCATAAATTGCATTTTCCCCCTATGCACGGGTTTTTCCATAAAGCAAAACAACACTGATATTTACCACACTTAAACTTTCCTTTTACATTAGTGTAGATACCCATGCAAGTAACCTTTAGTGGTAGGGAGTCAACAGTATTGCCATTTTCAAAATCTTAAGGAGCTTCCCTTGCACCACAATAGGTCTGGAAATTAATCTCTAAATCTGTCAGTGGGCTGGATGTTACACAGCTCTAAATTACATCTAACACAGGGACTCTAAAACAATGCTTCCCTAATCCTTAGAAGAGAGGACAAAATTTAAAGGGAAAAATAAAATACAATCATCTTGAAATAAACATATGAGGATGTAGATAAGAGTAACTATTTGTAATGATGTAAATTTTGAAATAGCTAAACAGTGTTGATATTTACACTAATGGAAGTGAGAAAGAGTGAAATCCATCTAAAACAGGGGAGTTTTAAAACATGCATTTTGTTTTCAATAAAGACAGCACATTCAGTCCTGTGCTTGGATATATTTGATGAGAGATGCACACTCACTTGACCCGGGTTTTCTCAAACTTCGGCCCTACATGTGCGGTAATATGATCTTGCTACAAGTGCAACAGGAAAGGGAGCGAGATTCAGACTATTAGAAAACTGCTTGATGATAATTGAAAGCTGACGTTAATATCTTCTGAAGCTAATCTTTACACCGATTATCTTTGCCGTTCGAAAGAAAGCTTTCCACTTACAGAAGGTCCTGTTGGGCTCCCCTGATTTGTTCTTAGATCCCGTGTGTGTGTGGCGGGGGGGGCACGCGCCCGGGCATGTGCAATTTTCTTTCAAGAACGCACACCTTCTATTTTGCTTTGAAGGATGGCCCTCAGGCTCCTAGATGTTTTGCTTCGAAGTACCTAGGGGTTCACAGCTCCCCCCCTAGCTTTCTCCTTTGCTGTGACCTCACAGTTGTGGAAACAAGCCCTGTGTCCAATCAGGTTGGAACCTGAGTTGTTACTCTCCAGAGCTGCCCTGCAGGGTGCGCGCTGAAGCTACCTCCTTGAGACATCTTCTAAATGTATACTTTCTGGGCTCCTTTACTCTCCTGCTTGCTCCACCCACTTACAGGACTCTCCTGGGAGCACTTCTATAACAAACCATTTGCATTCAAACCTCTGCCTTGTGGTTTACTTCTGGAGAACCTGATCTAAGTCAGGACTGTTCGAAACTATGGTTTCTTCTATGTACATAATAGTTAACAACAGTAATGCTATACTGATCGTAAATGACACAAAGAGATCCCAAGGGATACTGCAAACCACCTGTTTATTTGAAAAGTTTATTATGTGGAAGAAAAAAGGGATTCTGCACTGCTGGCAAAAGATCTAAAAAGACTTGGCGTGATTACTGGGTATATGATCTCTACTTTCTCATACGTGACTCTGTTATTTTCCTCAGGTGTCTCTCGTCAACATCGGAGCAGTGATTATGACCTGAGATACGAGGACCCCTAGAAATGCTGAGGCAGTAACCCTGAATCCTGTGAGGGACATGGCCCTCCTCCCCTAATTCTGGCTTTCACCCAGGGAAACTCTGCTTCGATTTATTCTCTACACTGGGCTTGCCTGTATGCCTCTGTTTGAAGAAACAATGACATCTACAGAGAGAAAAGAGTTGTAGGAATGAAGAAGGGCCCAAGGACTTGGGCTTTTAGCAAGATGCCCCCCTCCCAGCTCCCTATGCCCCAGAACTCCCAGTCTTGTCACCAAGTCCTGTTTTGAGACATGATCTCCAGGAGAAGCTCAGGTCTGGACCACAGGTCTTCACTCACCTCCTGCACTAGAATCACCATCTTGTCCGGCACGTCTCCATCACCCACCCTCCAAAACTTTTGAAACCCTTCCTCACTACCTTGGAACACGGCACCAACATCTTCCAAAATTTCAACCTCTGTTCAGATTGTTTTCTTCACTTTTTTCTAACTAAATCCTAGCTCTTCATGATGCATGCCGTTTCTTCTAGAGTCCTCTCAAGGGCGGATGTCTGATTTCCCAAACCCAAAGTACCACGAGGCCTGGGGATTCAGTAAGTGTCCTCCTTGATCCACATTGTCTGCTCTACCTTCACATCCCTGCAGGGAAAAGTGGCTGTGCAAAGCCATGCTGCATGGTGTAATCTTACGTTCATGATGACAGAACTCAAGTGGGCCCTAAATTCTTCCAAAAGATGGTACGGTATTTTCATCGTCTGTTCACTGTCCCACACTCCTAGACAGCTATTTCACACCCTCTCCTCTCTGCTTAAACACTACCTCCCCCGCTATCCTCACTTTCGGCCAGTGACCAAGATATCCACGTCACAGAGAAAACTGACAATCACCAGACATCTCCCAAAGCTCCCACTACCCACCTACCACCCCTGTTCTGCACCCTCCCTCCTGTTACTAGGGCAGCTCTCTGCTCCTATGTGTCACCTCTCACTTGTAGTCTGCATCCCAATCCTGTTCTCTTATTCAAGGGCAAGCCCCGGGAATTCTCCTCTCTTACATCATGAATGTCCCACTACACAGAATCATTTCCACCAGCATACAGACACACGGTTACTTTACACAACTTAAAAGAAAATCCCTCCCCACTCATTTCTGCCTTTAGTCACCCCCACGTTCCTTTGCTCACCTTAAAAGACGCCTTGGAATACTTGTTTGTACATTCTCTCCAGCTCCTGTCCTCTTCATCTCTACTGAATCCACTCTAATTCACACTGACCTCCAATGTTAGAACTGCTCTCTTTCCAAGGTACCAATTACTTTCACTTTGTTAGATGGACTGGTGAGGTTTTAGTACTTGACTTGACTCAGCAGCAGCATTTGACCCCATCGGTTTCTCCCTCCTCCTTGCCTGCTTTCTCCAGACGGGGCACTTTCTTAGTTTTTGTCCCATCTCCCCCCATTCCCCCACAGCTTCCTTGGGTTTAGGTCTGTTCTTCCTGGGTAGCTCTGTCCTTGGACCTCTTCTTTTTTCTATTTCCCATCCATATTCACTTTCTTGGTGAGCTCATCCAGTCTCATGTGGATGACTCCTAAATTTATCTCCAGTCTAGACCCCGGCCTTGAACTTCAGACTCATTAATCCAACTGCCTTCTTGCAACTCCACTGGGTTGTCTGATAACGATCCCCTGAACTGCCCTCCAAAGCTGTTCCTCCCACCACCTTACCCGTCTCAGTTAAGGCCAACTCCATCCTTCTAGTAACTTAGACAGAAACCTCAGGCTTGGCCTTGACTACTCTCTTCCTCTCCCCTTTGCTGATTTGATGTCAGAGCAGCATATCAGAACCTAACCATTTCTTGTCCCCTCAGCACCACTCCCTTCCCCAAGCAGATCACCATCATTTCTCTCCTGGATTACTGCAACAACTTTCCGTCTATATCTTTACTTTTCCCCTTGGTCCTAACATCTACTCTCAACACAGTAGAGTGATCCTTAAACCCTAAGTCAGATCATGCTATACCTCATCTCCAACCCTGCAGTGGCCCCCTATGTTGCTCAGTGTCAACCCCAAAATCCTTACAAGGACCCACAAGGTTCTGCATCACCAGGAACCCTGACCTCTCTGAGATCACGTAGTTTACTCTCTCCCTTTCTCTCATCTTTTTAGACGCTGACTCCTTTGCTGGTTCTTACACACATCAGGGGTGCTCCTGCCTTGGGGATGCTGAGTCTGCTGGTACAGCTGCCTGGAATAATCTTTCCCCCAATAAGTCTGCTCTCTTCTCTCCTTCAGATCTTTACTCAGATGTCACCTTCTCAGTGAGTCACTTCCTAATCAACCTTTAAAACTGCAACATCTCCCTCTGAGTATGCTTGCAATCCCTCACTCTCTTTTATTTTCTTCATCTCATATAGTCTGTATTTTACTTGTTAGTTGTCTCCTCTACCAGAATGTAAGCTCCACGGATTTGGGTCTATTTTTTGATCACTGTTATAGTCCCGTGGCCTGGAATTGGCAGATAGTAGGTGCTTAATTAGTATTTGCTAAATGTATGGACAAAACAACACATGTAGTAGGGTCAAGTCTGTTATACATATTTTTAGATCTCCATAAAGTTGGTGCTTTAACTGTCAAATTTAATAATGAATATATACGGTGAGAGCAATTTTAAACATCCCTTCTAG